ATGTGTACTTCCATGTCAGTAAGTAACTGATGTGTACTTCCATGTCAGTAAGTAACTGATGTGTACTTCCATGTCAGTAAATATCTGATGTGTACTTCCATGTCAGTAAGTATCTGATGTGTGATTTTCTGTCATTAAATATCTGATGTGTACTTTTCTATCAGTAAATATCTGATGTGTACTTCCATGTCAGTAAGTATCTGATGTGTAATTTTCTATCAGTAAATATCTGATGTGTACTTTTCTGTCAGTAAATATCTGATGTGTACTTTTCTATCAGTAAATATCTGATGTGTACTTCCATGTCAGTAAATATCTGATGTGTAATTTTCTATCAGTAAATATCTGATGTGTACTTCCATGTCAGTAAATATCTGATGTGTAATTTTCTATCAGTAAGTATCTAATGTAGTATCTCTGTGGTTTATTAGTATCTATAAATGAAGTGTGGTATATAGCACTTATAGTTATTATCTATAAGTGGGGTTTGTTATTAAGTTCATGTGTGATGTGCTAATGTATGTGCAGTTAGTACCTATATGATTTGTAAATGAGTATCTTTTCACCATTTGGAGGTAAATGACAAATTATTCTGAAAACAGTGACTCTTATATCCATGTTTTATATATATTCATTTAACATCCCCTAATATTAAGTTGAAGTTTCAACAGAGTAGTGTGTTTTCATATTTACAACTCCCAGTAATGTGGTCTCTGAACAGGAAAGATTGAACTTGTAAAATCCAAGTGGGCCCTTGCTGTGAGTGCTGTAATGACGATGGTCATGTCACTACTGATGTCTGTGGGGCTCTGCATATGGTTTGGCTTGAACCCAACATTGAATGGCAGGTAGGTACTGACCAGTAATTGAATAAACCTATGGTAGATCTAACCAGTAGTTGCATAGACCTATGGTAGGTACTGACAAGTAGTTGCATAGACCTATGGTAGGTACTGACCAGTAGTTGAATAAACCTATGGTAGGTACTGACCAGTAGTTGAATAAACCTATGG